GGGGGTGAAGTGTTTGCAAAGGAAGCGGCTGCGCCCGCGCTGCAGCCCCCGCTCTTTGTCTCGCCCCCCCCGACTGTTAGGAAGACGGAGGGAGCAGCTGTGGGGGGTACAGGTCATCATCCTAACCTGGGGTCCCGAGGGGCTGCGCTGGGTGTCCCCGCCGTGCTGCACCCCGGGCTGAGGACCCGCCTGGGCGAGACACGGGCGCTGCCTGGCTCGTCCCTTTCTGTAGGGTCTACGAGTGCGGCGAGTTGCCAGGTCTCAGCCCAGCTCGTCCCTCCACGCTCCTGAGCGTCTCCCTCTGCAGACCCTACCCCAGGCGGGAGCGGGGCGGACGTGCTCCAGGAGCCAGCCCTGGCCCTGGTGTGGCGGGGCCCCTTCCACAGCCTCTCCTGCAGGGTTGGGGGCAGGGGCAGGTCTGTCCCCGTTTCCAGACAGGCCGGACAGGTTTGGCCAGGCCTGTTCCGCCCCGGGGATGGGACTGGCAGGCTCCCGGGAGGCCGCCACCACCCAGGGGACCCGGCAGCCTGCGGCGCCAGGCCTGGGGGCCCAGCAAGGCTGTGATCTGGGCACTCGCCAGAGGACCCAGAGCCTCTGTCCTGGCCTGGCATGACTATTTCGGGAGCGTGAGCTGCTCGGAGAGGCACGCGGGGAAAAGATCAGCCCTCGGCGTGAAACAAAACCCGGGCAGCTCCAGGGGAAGGGGAGGGCAGAGCTGGGGGCAGCGGGGCCGGGCAAGGGTTAAAATGGAGCGACACCCACTGCCCCCCCATAATCCGTTCCCCTGAGCCTGGTTGTGCAGCCAGACCCCGTGCCATCCCCTAATCTCCGGCATTGTGTTGGGTTTCCGGCCACGGCGCCGCCCCCACCGCAGTCTTTCTTGACACCGTTTTGCTTTTAAGCAGAGCTGCAAAGGCCACAGTGCCCAAGCCAGGAGGGGCAGTGGGAGCCGGGCTGCAGGGAGGCTCCCAGGTGTGCGCACACACATGCACGCACACAGATGCACACACACGTGCACGAATGCAGCCCAGGATTTCCCCCCTCACCTCAGTTTCCCCATGTGGGCTGGGGGTGTTGCAAGGTGCAGAGGCAGGGTGTTTGCATGCTACAGCCACCGGGCAGGGCCCAGCCGGCCGCGGCACTGCTGTCCATCGATGGATTGATTGATCACACTGGGGAATTTGGGCTGGATGGCGAGATCCAGCAGCGACAGGCGCCGGTGTTCCCAGCCCTGCCCGCAGCCCCTGGGGGCAGCTGAGGGGCTTTGGGAGCCAAAAACCCCCCTCCGGCGCCTGCCCCCTCCCTCCGCTGCCGGCACAAAGTGCTGACCCATCACCCGGACCTGGCGAGTGTGAGAGGCCAGGCCACACAACTTCCTCCACGGTTTCCTTCCGGAGCCCGGAGCTGGTTTATTTTCTCAGAGGCTGACTCAGGGCTTCACCTGACACGGGGCCCATTGCCCGCTCCTCCCGCGGCTGCAGCCCCCTTCGCAGGCTGCTGCCCACCCTGCCGGCTTCCCGCTGCCCATGGGCTCCTCCGTGCCCGCTCTGCTTCTCCCGAGCCCTAAAAGGCCAAGATCTCCACGGTCTCCCATCTCCAGCCAGTTGCAGCGTGCAAAACCGGACCCCTCGGTGCTCCTGTGTTATTTGATGTGACAAGGAAAATCCGTGCGAGGCCTGGGCCGGATAAGAAATACACCCCCCCACCCCTTCCCACCTCTTGGCAGGAGGACAGAAAAGACTGGTCCCCCTGCTCTAAACCCACCCCTCGGGGCACCTAGCACGGCCTGTTTCTGGCTTGGCTCCGGGCTCCATTGTTGTGGGAACAATCCCTTTGTCTGTGTGAAGCTGGCAGAAAGGCTCACCTTGCCCGGGAAGCTGCAAGATTTGGCCTGGAAATGAAGGGGAGGCGTCTCTGGGCCTCTCAGGGCTACAGCTTCCAGCGTTGGCACCGATCCTGCAGGAGCTGGTGCTGCCCAGGGCCCGGGCTCTTGCTGGGTGTTTTGCAGATGCTCTGTTTTCCCCCCCCCGTACGAATTAAAAATACAACCCAGAAAGCCAGCAAAAATCACAGTCCTCATTAGGAGCAAATATTTGCATTGCAGCAACCACCAACCACCGCAAAGGCCCCGCTGCCTAGAGGGGCAAGATACCGCCGCAACCCATGCCCGGTCTAGGGAGGGGAAGGTGGAAGCAAAGTGACGTGGCCAAGGCCACATGGGAAGTCAGTGGCAGAGGGTGTGGGATCATGGGAGGAGCAATTCTGTGTATGCAGAGCCTCACTCACCTGCTTGTCGGGGAAGTTGCGCCGTTCCCTTCAAGCGTGGGGATTGCTGGCCCTGGCTCTGCTCTGCCGTGTCGTCAGGCTCCGCTTAGCTGCAAAATGGGAGACGCTGGCTCGTTTCCAGGCCACAGTCCCAGCCATTTCCAGGCTGCTGTCGGAGCTCCCTCGCAGCTCGGAGCCTCGGCCTTAGCACAGTGATCCTCAGCCCCTGGCAGCTGGGGGTGCACGAGCCTCTTCCAAGAGTGCTTGGGGTGCCACACCACACCACGTCCTGCCACGCCGGCACTGCGAGGTGTGCGAACAGCGTGCACGAGATGAACCCTGAGACGTCCAGCAGGCACGAGCAGTGTTTAAAACATGCTACCAGTTGCATGCTGAGTCCTCCTGGCACTTTCCTCGAGTCAAAACCAGAGGGAAAGCTTGGAGCTGGCATTTTCCGAGGGGAGCCTGGAGTCGATCAAAGGTGCCTTGAGTCTAAGGCAGGGCAGATTGGGACGTTACAGGTGAGATACATGTATAGCACAAGCTTTCGTGGGCTGAAGCTGGCTTCATCCGCTGCCTTGAGTCTCCTGAGGTGCTGCACGGTCTCGGGGTCTACCCCAGTGTGGTGCGTGTTTTTCGGCACAGTCTGCTGCTGTGGTTGGCAAGCCTGGAGCACACGGCATTGAGGTGAGGCCGGGTCTGGGGAAGCACCTGGTATTACTTGGTGCCCCCAGCTCGGGACCCCAAGGCCTGGCTTTGCATGGGGCTTGTCCTGGCTGGGATGCCAGGCTTTGCCTGGTGCCAGGAAGGCCTAGGAGGAGCTGGTGCCCAGGGCAGGCAGGACTTCGATACCTGACCGTGGGCCTGGCTCTGCTGCTCCAGGTCCAGCCGGGGACCTTGCCCCCATGGAGCAAAGCCCCATGGGGCTGCCAGCCTGTCTGGTGACCCCAGGGGACTTGGGTGGCTGCTGGCACCAGTGCAGCCAGCCCCAGCCAGTGCATGGGAGCAGGGTAGCAGAGCTGGCGCTGCCACCCCAGCCGCCGCAGCCAGCCTGGACACAGGTGTCCCACCCTAGCAAAGGCACCGGTGGCACCATAGTTTCATAGTTTCATAGTTTCAGGGTCGGAAGGGACCTAATAGATCTTCTAGCCCGCCCCCCCGCCAGGGCGGGAGAACAACCCAAAAACACAAACAAAACCACTCACCCTAAAAACAAAAACGGGACTCAAATGAGTCCAGCCAGGTAAGTATCCAGCCTCTTCTTAAAGATCCCCAGGGTAGGGGCCAGCACCACCTCCCTTGGAAGTTGGTTCCAGCTCCTAGCCGCCCTAACTGTGAAGTAGTTTTTCCGGATGTCCAATCTGTACCTCCTCTCCATCAACTTGTGCCCATTATTCCTTGTTATGCCAGCAGGGGCTAGGGGAAACAGCGTCTCCCCCAAACCCTTCTGGTTCCCCCTAGTGAGTTTATAGACGGTCACCAGGTCCCCCCTCAGCCTTCTCTTGTGGAGGCTGAATAGGTTCAAGTCCCGCAGTCTCTCACTGTAGGGTCTGCCCTGTTGTCCCCGGATCATGCGGGTGGCCCTCCTCTGGACCCTCTCCATGTTGTCCACATCCCTCCTGAAATGGGGCGCACAGAACTGGACACAATACTCCAGCTGCGGCCTGACCAGCGTCGCATAGAGGGGGAGGATCACCTCCCTGGCTCTACTCGAGATGCACCTGTGGATGCACGACAAGGTCCGGTTAGCCCTGCCAACCATGACCTCGCATTGTCGGCCCATGTTTATCTTGGAGTCAATAATGACACCAAGATCCCTTTCCACCTCCGTGCTCTCAAGTAGGGAGCTCCCCATCGTATAAGTGTGCTGCTGGTTCCTACTACACCAGTGGCAGACTGGGAGACGATGGGTACAGCGGCTCGTGGTTGCGAGCGGGTGCCAGGGCCGAGACACGCGGGTTACGGGGCATTAGTGCAGGAGGCCTGGTCTGGACCGGGGGATTATGCTAAGGACCTTACGGAGGAATTAGTAAGTGGGGCAGAGCGCCTGGCGTGGCCGGCTGAGCTGCAGGGAGGGGGCAGGGGCTCAAAAGGCACCTCAGCCACCCCCGCAGCACTGTGCCCCAGAGGAAACAGCCCTGTCACCACGTGGGCTCACCAGGGCTCCCCGAAATGGGCACTGACAGTGACGTCCGCCTCTCCAGGTCATCTCTCCCACTCCAGAGCAGAGTACAAGGATGGGCGCCTAGCAAGGGCACCTGGGTCCTGTGCTTCAGCTTCCCTCGGGGCACGGGGGGAAGCCCCTGGGCTGCTGGAGACCCTGCTGTGCTTTGTTCTCTGCTACAGACAGCCTACGGGGGCCTTGGTTACATCACTTAGCCCCCCCCCCCCCCCCCCCAGCTGTGGCTCTACAGGGATGATATGCTGCAGACTGTGGGGTGCCCTGATACCAGGGGGATAGGAGTCACCATAGCCCAGTGGAGAGCTGGCCAGGGTGGGCACCCACGTGTGGACTGAAGGAAGCGCCACGGGCTGGGGCTAATGAGCTCTCCCCGTTATATGCCCCAGGCACGGCCCTTCTTCTGCTGGCGGCAGGGCACCCCCTGGTGCAGAAGGGGAAACTGAGGCAGCAACTTAACAGCACAGGGGCTGCTGAGGGTGGGGGTCTTGGCAGCTTGTGAACTGGGGGCAGGCAGCAGCCAAACCCGACCAAACTGCCCCCCACCCCCCTCGCAGCACCAGCCCCCACAGCAACCCCCCCCCTACACTGGGGGCAGGCACCAGCCAAACCCGACCAAACTGCCCCCTACCCCCATCGCAGCACCAGCCCCCACAGCAACCACCCCCCTACACGGCACCCCAAGCCCTTTCCCCCCTTAAGAAGCAGATGCGAGGGGCTGCCAGCCCTCTGGCCACTGCTAAGTTTACCCCCTGGCCCGCCAGGCAGGGCTGCGGCCGGCGCGGTGCCCCCGCCTGCTTGGGAAAACAGCCTGGGATACAGGGCCCTTTGTCCAGCTGTGGCTTGGGCTGGAGCCCACAGCTGCCTCGCTGGGCGCTGAGCGCCTGTGGCCAGCTGGCTGCGGCTGCAGCCCCTCGGGGCTCTGCTCCCTGCCCCCGGAGCCTGCACAGTGCTGGGGAGGCTCAGGTGGGTGGCGAACAGGCCGGCTCCTGCCTGGCTGCAACGCCAAGCGGGGACGGAGCATGGGAGGAAGCAGGATTTCCATCCGGGAAATGATGCAGCTCCTTCTGGGGTGCAACACGGTCTGCAGGACCGTCCCCTGCAAGGAGGGGTGGGGGCCTGGCGGGCACGGCTCTGCCTGGTTCCCGGCCTGGTGGTGCCGTAGCCGTCCCTCTCCTGCCGCCCCGTGGCAGCCGGGGAGATCAGCAAGCCGGGCACCAGGCAGGAGAAATCCCAGCCCTGCTGCATCCTTGGGTGGAGAGAGCAGAGCTGTGGCCCCCTGCATCGGTGGCATCTGGGACCCGTGCGGCAGCTGCTCCTGGCTTGCGTGCAAAGAACAAGGCTGGAGAGCTTGTCTGGCCAGGAACCGGGGTTTATTGGGGGCAGGACAGGCGCTGCCGGCACGTGGCCATGTGCCTACATGCCTATCACGGGTGTCTCTTGAAGGCTTCCAGGCCTGGGGTCCACCCCTACCCCAGCCACGCTCCAGCCGTCCCCGGCTGCTGACCCCCAGCCAGACCCCCTGCTGCCATGCGCAGTCCACGCTGCCCCAGGCGGTCCCAGGCCATGGCTGTGGTCTGGCTGTGGTCTCACAGGGGCGTGCCACGCAGCAAACCCAGCGTCTTGAGTGTGGGGGGTGGCGGGGAGCCCCCCTGCTGGGCCCGCTGCCGGGAAGCATGGCCGGCGGCACAGAGGGGCCGGGAGGAGCGCAGCACCTCGGCCACGGCGCGGCGGAAAGTGCGGCTGACGCAGCAGTAGAGCAGGCCATTGAGGGCCGTGTTGAGCATGGCCACCATGTTGGCCACGTCCAGTGCCAGGTGCACCCGCCAGTCGCGGCGCACAGAGGCCACGTAGAGGTGGCACAGCATGACGGCTGTGCGTGGCGCCCATAGCAAGGCGAAGACGCTGGTGACCGCCAGCAGGAGGGCACTGGCCCGGTCCCGGCCCCGGCGTGGCCCCGGTGCCCGCCGCAGCTGGCACGTGATGGCCGAGTTGGTGGCCAGGAAGATGCCGCAGGGCAGGAAGTAAATGGCCACGCAGTGCAGCCACTTGAGTGCCCGGTCCAGGGCAGTGGGCGGGTCGGCGTCGCGCCACACGTCCAACCACCAGTAGAAGGGGACGCCGGTGGCCCGCGCGGGTGGCACAGGGCCACGTAGCGGTCCACGGCCAGCAGCACGGCCACCCAGACGGAGGCGTGGCTGGCCGCGAACTCCAGCGCAGTGACGGCGTGCACCGCAGCCGCCGGCACCGCCCGGCCCAGGATGCTCGTCTGCAGGATGAAGCCCACGAAGACGATGAGCACCTGGGCCAGGATGTCCGAAGCCGTCAGCGCCAGCAGGTGCCAGTAGGACGACTTCTTGGTGCGGGCGGCCAGGCGGGACAGGGCAGCTGCCGTCAGGACGTTGGCTGGGGGCAAAGCAGAGCCAGATGGGAAGGTGCTGCTGCCCTTGGGGCAACCTCAGCCCCCGAGCCGGTCCTTGCAAGGGGCTGGGGGCTGCCAGCCTCATGCGGGGTGCATTGGGCTGGGCACAGAGCCGGGGCTGGGAGCGGGGTGCTCCGAGCCGGCTCCAAGCAGGCAGCAAGGGCTGTGCCAGTGTGCGGAGACCCCCTAGCCCCCATCCCACCTACCTGGCAGCCCCAGGGCCAGCAGGATGCTGTAGTACACGATGGGGACGATGCCCACCACACAAGGAGACCGCTCCTCGCCCGCTGGCGTGGTGCTGTTGGGCCAGGAGCCATCCTGGAGCAGCATGGAGCAGCCGTGGCGCTGGGGACGGAGTGGAGTCAGAGCCCAGGACGGGGGCACGGGCTGCTGGCATGGGCCCGAGACAGGGTGGGTGTGTGGGAGCCGCAGCACATAGGGAGAGGGTGCACACAGGGACAGCTGGACAGAAAGGGGGGAGTGGACAGAGGCTGCATGTGGGGACAGACAGACGAGGGGATGGATAAAGGGCGTATGAGGGCACAGACAGACGCTGGCAGATGGGCATCGAGAAGCGGAAGGAGGGTGTATGTGGGCTCGGGTAGACAGACAGGTAAGTCCCAGGGTGGATGGAGGGCTGGAAGGACGGCTGGATGGACACCCAGGCAGGCAGAGAGAGGTACGGGGACAGCCGGGCACCCCAGCCCAGTGGATCCCGTAGCCCCCGCCCCAGGTCCCCTGCTTGCGGGGGCTCTTACTAGGGTCCCCTCAGGCTCACCGGTCCCACTGCCTCCCTGCGTCACGGAGCCGGAGCCAGCGGGGGCCTCCCTGCGTCACGGAGCCGGAGCCAGCGCCTCGTGCCTGGTCCCTGGGCAGGTGTGGGCTGTGCAGAGCAACCAGCCCAGCCCAGCCCAGCCGGGGGAGGGCCGGCTGAAGGGGGCCGGGCAGGGGAGAGGAGCTCCACCGAAGGCCTGGCCAGCTGCTGAGAGCTGGGGGGAGACAGGGGAGGCCTGGCTGTTGGTGTCAGTGCCCCCGACATGCAGCACCAAGACCCCGGGGCAGCCAGGACCTCCCAGCTCCGTGTCCCCGGCCACCCCCTGGCTCCGGTGCAGATGCCTCCTGCACTTGGCTCGGTTTGGCCCACACTGGCTTCCCGGGGCAGCGCAAGGGAAGGCAACCAGCAGCCCTGGAGATTTATGGCCACAAGGCATCTACTCTGCCCCAGCTCGGGCATGCGGGAGCCCCACGGTCGTACCACGAGCCTGCTCGGGGTCTCCTCCCTGCCACGGCACTCAGCTCTGGGTCCCAGCACCCGGCCCTGGACTCACACCCCAGCACGGCTCTCGCCAGCCTCTCCCCGCTGCTCCTGAGCCCCGGATTTGCCCCACCAGCCCCGATCCGAGCCAGTCGGGCCCACAGCCAGGAGCCTTTGCAAGGGGGCCGGGGCTGTGCTCTTGTCCCTGTGCTCACCCAGCTCCTGGGAACAGGCCAGGCTGGCGCTGGGCTCTGCAGTGCCGGGCACAGCAGGCCCCGGTCAAGAGGGTGGGGGCCTGGTGGGGGTCTGCACCCCTGGCCTGGGGCATGCCGTCTCCTGCCTCCGCTTCTGCCCCTCCGGGCCCCTCCGGCCTTTGCACAGCCGTGGGGTGGCAGCTGGTCTCATCCCCCTACGGACGCCCCCCCGGCACTCTGCCCTCATGCCGGCCCCGGCAAGCTGTTGTTTTCCAGGCAGGCGGTTAAATCAGCCGTGGGCAGATGCGGGGCTGAGCCATTAGCGGGCTGGGGCGGGCGTCCCCCGGCGATGCAGGAAGCCCCGCCCGGGCTGTTTGCTCACCCGAGCGTGCGGGGAGCTCCGGCGCAGATAGTGCGCGGGCAGTGCGCTCGTGCGAGCAGGCAGCCATCTGGAAGGGCTGGGGTCAGCGTGGCCTGAGCTCAGCACATCAAGGAAGCGGGCAGCCACGCAGCCCAGCTGGCGCCGGAGCCATTAACCATGTCGGGGCTGGGCCATGGGGTAAGCTGGAGCCAGTCCCCAGCTGGACCTGAGAGGTAGCAGCATCAGCAGGGCGGGCTGACTTTGGGGATGCCCCCCTTGGCCCAGCATCCCAGGTGGGCAACGTTTGCTGGTGCCCGGGTGCCCCAGATCTGGACCCCAGGGTCTAGACCCCACCGGATCCCAAACACTGGTGCACGGGGTGCCGAAACCCCCGACGTAGGCGCCAGCCCTGCACCCCCGTCTCCTGGGGCAGAGCAGGGCAGGCATCCAGCAGCCCTGAGAGCCTTTGGAGGGGCACTGAGAGCCTCAAGCAGCGGCTGCGTGCCCTGGATGTGCCTGCTCGCCCCGCACTGGGGGAAGGGTCCCAGCTCTGCGTGGGAGCTGCAGCCTGGGGGGGAGCAGGGGTCCCTGGCCAGCCCTGCCCACTCACCGCTGCCCGCAGCAGCGGGCTCAGGCTCCCGGCAGACTCTGGCAGGCGCTGCTGCTTGCAGCAATGGTTTCCGGGTGACTGGCAGCTGGTATTGCAACTCTGCAGGCTTCAGGCCCTTGGCCGAGATGGAGACCCCGGATACCCTGCTAGTGCCCAGCTCCTCACCACCCTGCCCATGCTGGGCAAAGTGACTCACCCAGGGGCACCCAGGGAGGCTGTGGCAGAGCCCAGACCTCCTCCTTCCTGCTGCCCTGTCCCTCCTTGCTGCAGCCCGGCGGCCTCTTCATGTGACACTGCTCTGGCGCCCTGGGCCCTGCTTGCAACGCCCACACGTGACTCCCAGCCCCGGGGTCTCGGATGCCCTTGGCTGTAAATGCAGCTGGCTTGGGGTGGAGCATGGCAGCCCCCCTCGCCCCGGCCCCGAGCCAGCTCTGCACAGGTGGATGGATGCTGGGGGGTCACAAGGACAGGCAGGGGCAGGGCCGCGGCCCGGTGGTGCAGCCTGAGCTCCCAGCCTGGGAATGGGGGGAGCTCTTGGCCGGCGCCGGGGGAATCTGGGCCAGCGAGGCCATTGTCCCTGCTCCGTGCCGGGGGGGCTGCACTAGCCGGGCCAGGATGCCATTAACTCCTGTTACCGATCCCCAGAAACAGCTGGCAGGCTGACAGCGGGGGGAGGCCCCGCGCCCACCCAGCCCCGAGCCAGCGGCTGCCAACTCGAATCCCGTCAGCCCCGACAGCTACTCGATACCGGGCACGGTGCCCGCTGAAGGTCACCGTGCCCGCCCCGGCAGCGCCTGGGGTGGGATAGGGGGACAGACACGGCAGCTCCCCTTCACCCCCCTTCCCCGGCCGTGGCCGTGCCCCTGCAGGATCCCGGTCTGCCCTGCCGTGGTGGGCACGGGGCAGATCCCCAGATCAGCATGCTCCCTCCCTGCACCCTGCACAGATGGGCCGGCGCGGAGAAGGGGGCACCCGGCCGCCTGGTTTGGGGATCACCAGAGGCCACGACCCCGCTGGCTGCAGGGACGTGGAGCAAAGCACGGTGCTCCAGTGCCCCGACAGCACCGCTGACGGGCCCGAATCCACCCACCCCAGCCGCCCAGGCTAGCGGGCTGCAAAGCAGACCTGGACTTGGCTGGCGACGGCAGTGTGCGTGGGGGCCCTGACCCACGGCAGGGGGAGTTTCTGGCCCCGGTGGCGGCCCTTTGGGGCTGCAATACCCTCCAGGGCACCAGGCAGATGGTTTGCAGCGGCCCTATGTGCTAGTGCAAGCCTGGCAGAGCAAGAAGAGTGGCGTGCGAGCAAGCTGGCAGTGCATGGAGACCCCGCATAGGGGAATGCACGGGAGAGGCCGACCCCCACGCTGCCCCCGGCCGAGGTCGGAGAAGGACGGAGCCGAGGCCCCTGCAGAAGGGGCGCCGGAGCGGGCGCAGGGGGGTCCGGACGTCCCCGGGCCGATGCGCCGGCGGGTGCGAGAGTGCCACAAAGCCGGGAAGAAATCAATGCACCCTCTGAACCGTTCCCGTGGCAACGGCTGTTGTCAGTTTCCACCAATCAATGGCGCGGAGCCGGGAGCCCGGCTGGGAGGGTCGGGGCCTGGCATAAAGGGGCCCGCCGGCTCCGTCGCTCCCAGTCCCCCGTCGCCGCCCTGCCATGGCCAGGATGCCGGGGGGCTGGCCTGGTGCTCCCTGGTGCTGGCGCTGCTGCGGTGCCGCTGTTCTGCTGCTCTTGCTCACCGTGCACGCAGGTAAGGGTGCCCCCGGGCTCCCCCAGGCAGGGTCAGCAGGCTCCTGGCACCAAGTCATGCCGCGGTCTGGTGTGGCATCGTCTGCTGCAGCTCGTCTGGATGCGCCCGGACCCTGCAACTTTCTGCTGAGTTTGGCTGGAGCATCTTGCCGGGCGGGCAATCCCGGCGGCAAACCCAGCTCACACCCAGAGAGGTGCCCTGGCAAGCCAGACTCACCCGGAGTGCCAGGGGCACCGGGGAGCACCCTGCCTGCTTGCACGGGGATGCTCCTAGTCCCGGGCCCAACGCAGTCCATGCTCCGCGGCTGCAAGAAGCGGTCGCCGGCTGGAAGTTGTGTGCTGGGCGCTTGCTCTGCCAACCAAGTCCTCCGTCCTCAAGGCTGGAGCGGGCAGAGGGGGGGTTTGTCCTTCCGATTTTCCCTTTGTCTCGGCTGCAGCGGGAGGGGGCCCTGCAAGAACAGGCTGGGCTTTCAGCCCCCGCAGCGGCCGGAGGAGGCGAGAAGCGAGACTTGGCTCCACCGCGGGTCCCATTCAGGGAGCTGGCGAGGCCGTGCCGTGCCTGGAGCTGTGCGCGCTGGGGCTGGGCAGGAGGCTGAGGTCCCCGGGAAGACACCGAGAAAGGCCTGCACCATTCCTGCCCTGGTGCTCCCAGCTCGCCCTACAGCTGGCACCAAAGCCCAGGGGCGTAGCTCGAGCCAGGCCACGTACCCGCCTCATCTCCACTGACCCTCCCTGCCCACGGGGCCACGATCCCCATACTGAGATGCCCCATGCGCCCATTGCCCTGCCCTGTCCTGGCAGACGCCCCATCGGCTCTGCTCTTGCCCCGCAGCCCAGCGCGCGGAGCTCGGGGCAGACACCGCGGCGGCCACCATCAACCACGCACCGGCGCTGCTGCAGCGGCTGCAGGGGCTGCTGCAGCAGGGCAATGGCAGTGACACTGTGCTGGGGGTGCGCCCGGCCGGCAGCGACGAGGTCCAGGTCTTCCACGCGCACCAGCTGCTGCTGGCCTTGCAGAGCGACGTGCTCGACGGGCTCCTGCACAACCGCTCCGACCTCACGCTGGACGAGCCCCCCGACAGCGCCGCCCTCTTCGACAAGTTCATCAGGTCCGGGGCTGGCGGGGGGCAGCAGGGGATGCTCAGAGCCCTGAGGGGGGGCAGTGGCGGGTGCTCGCAGTCACCTGACACGCCGGCCCGTGGCCCGCAGGTACCTGTACTGCGGGGAGGTGTCGTTGCAGCTGCACCAGGCCATCCCGCTGCACCGGCTGGCCAGCAAGTATGGCGTGGCGAGCCTGCAGCGCGGCGTGGCCGAGTACATGCGGAGCCACCTGGCCAGCGAGTCGAGCCAGGGCCACGTGGTGGGCTGGTACCACTACGCCACGCGCGTGGGCGACGCGGGGCTGCAGGAGAGCTGCCTGCAGTTCCTGGCCTGGAACATGTTGGCCGTGCTGGGCAGCGCCGAGTGGGCCACGGTGAGCGCCGAGCTGCTGCTGCTGCTGCTGGAGCGCTCCGACCTGGTGCTGCACAACGAGCTGGAGCTGTACGGTGCCGTGGAGGCGTGGCTGGCCCGCCGGCAGCCCGAGGCCCGAGTGGCCGAGCGGGCCCTGCGCGCCATCCGCTACCCCATGATCGCGCCCAGCCACCTCTTCCAGCTGCAGACGCAGTCGCCCGCCATGCTGCGGCACCGCGCCGCCGTGCAGGACCTGCTCTTCCAGGCCTTCCAGTTCCACGCCGCCTCCCCGCTGCACTTCGCCAAGTACTTCGACGTCAACTGCAGCATGTTCCTGCCCCGCAACTACCTGGCGCCCGCCTGGGGCTCGCCCTGGGTCATCAACAACCCGGCGCGGGATGACCGCAGCACCAGCTTCCAGACCCAGCTGGGCCCCAGCAGCCACGACGCCGGCAAGCGGGTCACCTGGAACGTGCTCTTCTCCCCGCGCTGGCTGCCCGTCAGCCTGCGGCCCGTGTACGCCGACGCCGTGTCTGGGGCGCTGCCCGCAGCCCGGCTGGAGGACGGGCGTCCCCGCCTGGTGATCACGCCGGCCATGTCCAGCTCCGACTTCGCCGGCGTCAGCTTCCAGAAGACGGTGCTGGTGGGCGTGCGGCAGCAGGGCCGCGTCTTCGTCAGGCACGCCTACAGCTTCCACCAGAGCACGGACGAGGTGCCCGACTTCCTGGCCCATGCCGACCTGCAGAAGCGTGCCTCCGAGTACCTCATCGACAACGCGCTGCACCTCCACATCGTGGTCAAGCCCGTCTACCACTCCCTCATCAAGGTCAAGAAGTAGCCGGGTGGACGGGCCCCATGCTCCGGATTTGGGGCAGGGGGTAATTCCCGGGGCTTTTCCCTTCTAGATAGATGTGCATTCGAGATAGTCTCTGGGACGGTGCCTGTGACCCGGCCCCCAGGCTCTCGGGGGGCAGGGAGTGGGGAATATGGGCAGAGGAAGAAGCCCCGCACCCAGCTGCCCCCGATGCCCGAGCCCCTTCTAACCGTGACCCCTGTCCGAGCTGGGCAGCCGCGCGGGTTGGCTTCGCCTTGGCTGACCTCCCGTGACTGCGGTCCCAGCTCCTGGGTCCAGCCGTGGCCGGCAGGTGCTAGGAGCACCCATTCCCTGTGCTGGAGGCTGGGATCCAGGTGGGGCATCCATCCTGCCCGGCAGGTGTGTGCCCGCTGGGTGTGTTAGCACCGGTGACGGCAGCCCGGGGCGCTGCGGGGGTGCCCATCTGCCCCAAGCCCTGGCACGGTGACACTAGCCGCCCCTGCCAGCCAGACTCCCGGTGCTGACCACAGCCACCCACGGCAGCTTGTTACGGCCCCGGGGCCCCGGAGAGCCTCGGCTGCCCTGAGCTCCCGAATAAAAAGCAGGAAACGTGTCCTCCGCGGTGCTGGTGCCTTCTTGGGTGGGGGGTGTTTTGCTCCCTCCCGAAAGCCGGGCATGTTGGCCAGCTGGCCAGAGAGCCACGAGCCCAGAGCCGTGTGCCGGTGCCAGGCCCTGCTGGGCTCCCGGCTGCCGTGTCTGCACTGCTGGCAGGAGCCCGGCTCGGGTAAAGCAGCTGGGGCATGTCTGCGGGCGCGCACCATGTGTCGCCTGCTGCCGCGCACGCCTGCCACGCACCCCCACGGCTTTGGGCACAGACCCCAGCTAGCTGGGAGGAGGTAGGTGTGTTGGCAGCCTCCCCAAACCCCCAGCCCCAGGGAGCCAGCAGGGCTAAGTGACATGCCCAGGGCTGCAGAGCAAGGCGGCGGCACAGCAGGGGGACAGACTCCATCTCTTTGCCCCCCACAGCCTTGGCATTGACCCCTACCCGCCCCCCGCAAAGGACAAAACAGCGAGGTGCCATCCTGGGCTCTCGGCCACGGTGTTTAATGCAGCCTGACCGAGCAACGCAAACCGCGGTGCTGCCTCCGTGCCCTGCGCCCTGCCCCGGCCTGGGCCTATCGGTAAGCCTCCGGGGGCCCCCAATCCTGGGCACCACAGCTCCAGCCGGCTGCAAAAGGGCCAGGATTGGGCCCCGGTCCAGCCAGGAGTTTGGCAACGTGAGTCATGGCCAGAGCAGCTGCTTGGAAATGCAGAAGCCCCCCGGGGCACCCGTCAACGGGGTGGGAGTCTGCAGACACCCCAAATGCCACGGGTCCTGTGACCCCTTGGCAGGCAGGATTCCCCAGTCCAGGAGAGCCTGATTTCAACCCCTGTCCTCCCCGGGTGCCCCAGGCCCGGCACGGCCCCCACAGCAGGGGGGTGACCCCGAGTTTCCCAGCGCTGCGGGGCAGCGAAACCTGGGCCGTTCCAGCTGGGCTCAGCCCCTCAGTATCTGCGGCTCCGGCCGTCCTTGCTGCCAGCGTTCACCGCGGTGTAGCCAGGCCGGGGGCGCTGGCTGGTGGTGGGGCCTTTCTTCAAGCCGCCGGGGTGGGGCAGGGCCAGGGGGAGTGCAGGCGAGTCCTCGGGACCTGGGGGAGCAGACAGCAGGAGCACTGAGAAGCGGGAGCTCTGCTCTGCTCCAGAACCCAGGCCTCTCCCCTCCCTGGCACGTGGCGGGGCAGAGGACAGGGCACCTGGGCCAGGGAAGGTGCAATGCAGCTAGCGGCTGCAGCAGGGTCCTTGCGGCCTCTGCCACAGCCCCGCCAGGGAGGGAAAGTCCCTCTGCCCAGCGCCATGCGCATGCACCCAGCCCACATGGACCTGACTCCTTGCCCCTGGACCCGGACCAGGCACCAATGCCCAGTGGCGCATGCCTGATGCCCCCCGCCGCTCACCTGGGGGCTGGCTCTGGGGCAGCCGCACCTTGGCCAGGTGCAGCGGGGCTTTGCTGGGCGCCCGGGCGGGCGGTGCCAGCTGGCTGCCTCCCAGCAGCCGGTGCTCGGAGCTACTTTCCAGTGGTCTGCAACGTGGCACATTGCTCTTCAGGCCGGAGAGCTGTGGGAGGGCATGATGCATCACAGCAGGTGGCTCCAGCACCTCCACCCTTGCACCCAGCGCAGTACCAGGGTCCCGGACCAGGCCACGGGCACTCTTATACCAGCATGCACAAGAGCATCCCTGCCACCTCTTATTCAACCCCCCCCTCCCCCAGCCACGGGCACTGGGGCCAACTCTGCCAGGAGCGGGCACTGTGCCTAAGTCACACATACCCCGTGGCCGGTGACCTCGAAAGACCGGGACCGCCGCCTCCTCCGCCTGGCATCCAGTGACTCCTCCCGCCTGTCCAGCTTCTTGCTGCCCTTCTTGTGCGCCCGGAGCCAGGGCCCGGGCGAGCGGTTGGGGAGCGTGCCACCAGCCCTCGAGCCCGCCTCCCCAGTGCTGCTGGACAGGTTGTCCTCGCTGGCGGCGTGTGGCAGGCCGGGGCTTGGTGCTCGGCAGCCCAGGGGGGTGGCGGGGGACAGGGGGTCCTCGCTCTCGCTCAGCGAGTGCAGCGACAGGCTGCTGGGCTCCTTGGCCGGCTCCAGCAGGGGCAGGCGGTCGCACTCCAGGGCCCGGGAGCGGCGCCGGGCAGCCTTTACCGCGATGCTCTTGGTGCCACTCAGGATCTCCTTGCGCTCTGCTGCCGGGGACATGGGGGTAAGGGGGGCAGGCATGGGTTCTCCCCTGCTGGGAGGGGATGCCAGATCTGGACATGAGCCCAGAGACCCTCCTGGACCCACTGGAGACTGCAAACCCCAATGCTCCTGGCATGATCCTAATGCCCTGGGCAGCTGCCTCGTGGTAGGGGCAGGGGCGCCTCAGCAGGGCAGGAGAGCACAGGCACTGCATACCCTGTGTTCATGAGAGGCAGCCATGCATGCCTGCCAGGGCAGCAATGCATGTGAACAAGTGTGCAAAGGTGTACTTGCACATGACAGCACATGCACACGTGCGATGATATCACAGCAGCTGCTGAGTGTGGCCGTGACCTGCACAGAGCAGCAGGTGCTAGGGCACGTGTGCACGCTGGGGCGTATGCATGCTCACGTGTCCACTGGCGACGCTGCAGCAACTGTGTGCATCCACATGCGTGTGGCCGACAGGTGTGGCAGCATCTCTTGCAGGTGCATGGGGCCTTGATTGCACCCAGCCCCCCTGGGAACCCTAGTTTGGCCCTCACCCCGTTCCCCTGGGTGCCCAGGCCCTGCTGGGGCAGGCAGTACCTCTGTGCGCAAGGGCGAAGTCGGTGCAGAGCTCGCCGCTATCCGGGGAGGAGGTGCGTTGGCTGCCCAGGCTCACCAGGCTGTCCCGGGGCGGGCACTGAGGGCAGAGACACAGGGGGGGGTGTGCCCAGTGGCATGGTGGAGGCAGCCCGCATGGACTGTGGATGCTCCCAGCCAGGTCCAGGAGTCCTGGCCCTAGGTGCCACCCAGCTCCTGCGGCCGTGCTCACCTCCTGGGTCACTAGGCCGTTGACGTGGATGGGGGGTGGCGTCTGCACGGCCGAGCTCTTGAGCAGCTGTGCCCGCGGGCTGGCCTTGAACATCTGGGCTGGGTCACTGGCGAGGGAAACATGGGCGCACACACGCGTGCAGAGCTCAAAGGTGCTAGCAGCCCCCAGCAGTGCCTTGGACTCACTGCTGTGGCTCTCTGGCTCCAGTGATATGGATGGGCCAAGCCCCGTGGATGAAGCCCCGTGGCCAGGTCCCCCCCTGCACCTCATCATGAAGCCCCTACCTCTCTGCCTCGCCAACCAACGGGGGCAGGGTGCTCCTGCGGGAATCCCGCGGCGGCGGTGCTGGGGGCTCCGAGCCCAGTGTCCTCACGCTCTCCTGGTCCGAGTCCAGCGCGCCGTCGCCCGCCGGGAGCTGGGGGAGCTTGGGCAGAGACGTGTCCTGCTGGGGGTAAGCCCAGCCCAGGTGCTTTGGGAGCTGGACAGCCCCCCGCCACGCAAGGCTGTCCCAGCCCAGGGACGGGCTGCAGCTGGAGCCCCCCTGTGCCCACATGGAGCCCCTGCCCCTCCCGGGCAGTCCCGGGCACGTGAGTGGAAAGCCCCCCTGCTGCCACAGGTACCTTGAGGGTCTTGCTGGCCACGCGGTCCAGGCCGCCCTCCTCCAGCTCCCGCAGGTAGATCTCGTACAGTTCTTCCAGGTGCCGCGGCACCGACAGGTGGTACTCTGCCAGGACAGCGTGGGGGTCACAGGCCCACGGAGCTGCCCTGGGAGCTCTGCTGGCACACAGCCCTTGGGGCAGTGCCTGGGGCATGGGGTTGTGCCAGGCCAGGCTCGCCCCGGCTCCTGCTGCCCCCCCTTCCCCCCCATAGCACCATCTAGGTGGGTTTGTGCCCTGCCCGGTGCCATGATGTGATGTCACTGCATTGTGGTGTGATGTCATGGCACCATGACATGCTGATGTAAGCCGTAACATGCTGGCACAGCCTGGCACCACAGGACCGAGTCGGGATGGGGCCTCCCCGTGTCATGACAGCACACTGCGACACGGGCTGTGAGATCACGGCCGGATGTCGCATTGGAACCTAGCCTCATTGCGGGCACCCTGGGAGGATCGTGTCATGACATGGACCCTGTGCCATGACAGCCGTGTGCGGTGACAAAGGTTCACCTGGTTGTGACACAGTAGGACAGACACAGATGCCAGGGCATCTGGACACTGCCACATTTTAATCGCGTGTCCCAAGTAGAGACAAGCCCACAGCACACCAAGTGTCACGTGGACAATGCGTGTCATGACATGGCCGGCACAGACAATCCTGCTGGAACATGCCGACACCATACTGAGACATGCCAAGGATAGGCTTGTCCCAAATGGATCCTGCTGGAACACACCATGACACGCCAAGTGTCACAGCCATCTCATATCACGACACGACCGTCCCAAATAGATCCCACTGAGACGCACCCATGCCATGAGACATCATGTGTCACACAGACAACCCATGTCATGACACGATGGTCACGAACAGATCCCACCTCAACACGCCAAGTGTCATGTGGCCAACTCATGTCATCACGTGAGGGTTAGAACAGATCCCACCTTGACATGCTAATGGCATCACGTAGCCAACTCATATCGCAGCGTGACAGCTACGACAGGGCCTGGCCATGCCCCACCATGCGGCAGCCCCTCTGCACCGGTGCCGGAGGTGCCAGGATGGGTGCTTACCACGGATGAGCTGGCGCTGCTGGCGGATGATCTGGTGGCAGAGGCGGCGATGCTGCTCGAAGCGCTGCGCCGCGTCGTCCCGGTGCAATTGCAGGGCTGCGCTCTCTGCCTCCAGCTGGCGCACGCGGCACAGCAGCCCCAGTGCCTCGCGCTGCTCTTCTGCACCCACGGGCCGTGGCAGCACCTCCTTCAGCTGCCGGCCTCGCTGCTGCAGCTCCCGCAGCCGCCGCTCCAGCTCCCCCTGCGCATGGCACCAGCTCACCTCAAGCAACGGACTGCTGGGGGG